TTTCGATGTGGAAAGGTGGCGCTACCCTTGCACTTCCGTACCCACCACTTCTAGCCATGGTTCTTAGGTAGGTCTGGGCCCGAACTTTGCCTTCAAGGAAACAGCAAAGTTGTGAAACTTGAACTGCAGTTCAGGGCATATCGAGGCAAGCCGAGTTCAAAAAAACTCACCAAGTTGTACATGTGGGCGAATAGTCGCAGCAAGAAGGCTCCTAGATTGGTACCAAAATAATAGGCATATAGTCGGAAGGCGAATTGGCAAAGGCGAGTTACGAAAAGTAGCACGTAAACCGGTGATATGAGTCGAACCACCCGCAGATTCTCCTTGCACTGGTAACTTGTTGAGAGCGCTCGATTAGGGACTGGTCAGGTGACGTTTCGACAGCGCCTGAGTGACGCGAAGAAGCTGAAAAAGGAAACATTCAACTCAATCCTGTGATCCTCGTATTCAGTCACCCTGATTAGACTTGGAGTATATTAACGCGGTAAAGGATTAAAGGCACAACCCAGGCAGAGGTCGTGTGAACGCTTCTCTTCGGTCTGTAGTATACCCAGAGGACAATCACAAATGTGGCGTTCCGTGCACGGAAACCAACCGACAAGAGCGCTTGGGCCTTGCAAAGTAAGCTGCCCAAGCTGCAGTTTTTTTCTCTTATCAGGCTGTTGTCTGGCGCTCTCTCATCTGTAGCGCTCTCTCGCCTCATACTCTCCTCTCCGCGCTTAGTCTCTCATTCCCTTAGCACAGCCGATTAGCCCTTAACCTGAGCGTTTTCGACGGATTCTTTTCCTTTTTTCTTTACTGCCGGCCCATTTCGCACCAATACATTCGCATTCGTGTGCAAGAGCCACACCAATGTGATCCTGGGGCATGCCTTTAAGGGTAAGGTCGAAGGTCGAAGAAGGGAAAACTCACCTAGTGGAAATACAGGCGGACATCCTAAGGGTACGGACAAACACGCAATTCGCAGCGAAAGATATCCCCGCCATCTAGCATGGTCACCACTTTTGAAATCACAATGCACGCAAATCATATGGACGGGGTTTGACTCCGCACACACAAAAGCTCCATCGGTTGTTAACTTTTCTGCTCGAGATGGTAAAATACGGTAGACTACGGTCAAGAGGCAGGCCAACACAATAGACTGTCACATAGGCGGAAAGCAAACTCTGTCCACACGATCGCTGACAGTGTGATTCAAAGAGTAGAATGTTCCGCTTCCCTTTCAACCAACCATCAGAAAAATCTCCAATTTAGGGGGCAGTACCACAGACCCATTTTATCAGAAAGCCTTCAGAGAAGGAATTCACGATAAGAACGAAAGTCAAATAAGGGGAAAATTGCATAGCTGGGAGGCAGCGAAAGATTTGACCTTGGCGATCTAGCATGGCTCACTCTTGGCGCGGTTGGCGGGTACGCCCACCGACTATCTAATCACTCGCCGCAGGTCTATACGTGGCGAGTGATTAGATAGCAGAGAGAGCGTAGTGTTGAAGAGGGCACAGCGATGAGAGTCGCATCAATGCGCAAATCAACGGGCAAGGAAGGGGTCCCATTTCTCGGGTTTCGGGCCGTTTCAAATGGTTTCTTCTTCATCCCTGCTCCACTGACCACCTCTACCCTTATTTCCAAAGAGCTAACTTTTCATAGTAAATTCTGCCTTTGAAGGCAGCGATTGTGATAGGGGAGGCGGTCATATGGCGCGATCACATTGGCATTAGAGCGCACAGGCCGCAATTGCCCCATCCTGCTGCGGCCGGACAACTCGTCCGTATCACTCAACTAGACTTCAGTAATTGATCGATCTGATAATTTGGGTCTCAAAAATCTCGCTGAGTCCCAAAGATCTAAAAAAGAGCGGATAGCTTCGTTGGCCTGATGCCAAGGCAAGAGGAACGGAACAGAATGTGTTGCGCGGACGAGTTGTCCGGCCACGCAGGATGTGGTAATTACGGCCTGTGCGCTCCAATGCCAATGGGATCGCGCCATATGACGCACACCCATGACAGGTTCTGGAGGAATTCCGTGAGGACTTACGGGAGCTCAATGGTACGCCAATTGCTTAAAAAGGAAAGAAATACGTTAAGAAAACGCAAAAAGGGAAACTCCTTGTTTGCCCATTGATCATCGCTCGAGAACTGGCAACGGCGAAGGCGGCAGACTTATAGACGAGTTTAGCGCAACGCATTTAGTGGCACCATGCGACGAGCTGTGCTCCCCGCGAGTGCCAGCAGCGGCACAACTGAGCAGCTCGGAGGGAGCACAGCTCGTCCAAATCACCAACTAAACTAGTGGGCGGATCGCTTTTGGGGCGGAGCGCTTTCGAAGTCCTGCTCAGCAACCAGCGCACCTTTCGTCGTGAAAGCGCCACACCTCGCTTCTTGGCAGCCAAGTAATTTCGTTGTGGCGCATGTGCTTCGCCTATGAGCTCGCCTTAATGTGGTCTTTTCTTAGGTTTATGAAACTATGTCTGGTTGTGATAACTTGAATACAATAAAGATACTGGTAGGATTAGAAAGCAGTTTTCGTAGGAACTTAATAGAAAGATTGTAGTGTGATTTCTCACCACTAATCCGATGACATTCGTTGCCGTCATCACATATGAAATGTACATGAGCGTTGTTTGCGGTGTTTCATAGTAGACATCACCACGAGCGACGAACAAATAGAATGAAGATCCGTATATAGTGGCTACCTGAAGACATCGTTTATTGAAAAATGCTGACTGGTGAGGCACGGAACAAATATTCTCTCTATATCACCCTTCGCTCCCCACCCCCCTCACCCTCTGGGATGGCGAGAGTTCATTGTAGTACGACGAAAAAGACCACGAATGCCAAAATTGCTTCAATGTTTGCGCGCTCCAAAAAGGACAATCATTCCTCTTTCTACGAATGAAAAGTGACCGGAGGCGGGAAAAACGGGTGCCGTGAGGATTGAAAGGAGGACAAAACGCTCGGCGTCAATTTCTTCTTATACGCCTTATGGTTAGCTTCGACTAACTCAAAAAGGCAGAGGCACGCGATTGAGTTAAGATCTTTCAGAAAAGGGTATTAGCAATTGAAAGTCTCCAAAGAAATGGAAGAGCTGGATGTCTCGTGCAGCGTTAGCCTTTTTCCCCTCGATCCCTAAAATCTGAACCTGGTTGGTAGCATACTGTAAAGCAATTCATTCAAGACAATCAATCTAGTTAGTTTAGGATAAATAAGATACTTAAAGCGAACGAATTCTATTGGACTAATCATGGTCATTGCAAAATGGTATGGCTACTTTTCTATAAGAGTAGGCCGAAGAGGTAGCGAAATAATCTTCAGCGCAGAACTAGCAGGGTAAGAATTGGTCGTGGATACAACGACGACTCGTCGAGGATTTCCGCCTGGCAGTCAAGCTCTCCCGCGCGTACATTTACTCTCGACACTATTCTCACACAATGCAGAGCCATGGTCAAAGATTTCCTCGACTGTCATCCACCCTGATCCGCGTGTATACTCATACGGTACGGTAGTGTGATGATACGGATACGGTAGTGCAATGTACGCAATGACGTCACGATAAGCTTTAAGAATCGATAGGACTAAACCTTAGGGGGGCGGACTGGAGTCCAGGTCACGTAGGCACTTGTCATCATCCCCGGAGCACTTTTCATTATCCTTGGAGCTCCTCCTTTTCAAGGCTTAGTTGTTGGGCCGAACAGGAAGAGCTATGTGGAACATACATAAAACGAAGACATAGCGTTGCGACAGTATATTACACGCATACCGTGCTCAAAAATAAAACATCCCCCGAAGTAGATTGTACCCGATCTCGTATAAGGTAAGCCGTTACGGGTTGTGGATCGCGAAGACTAGTTCGCTATTCGCGGCACAAAACTTTCGAGGTGGACCTGGGGCCGAGTGCAGCAAGCCCCGGCCAGGGTATGGGTCCCAAAACTCTGCGTCTCTACTCTGGTCGATGACGCCGTCAGTCCTCGTGATCAAGAATAGGGAGATGCGTCTGAGATGCAGTTTTGGGACCCATCTCCTAGCCGGGGCTTGCGGCAGCTGATCCTTGGGATTCCCGAGCGAAAAAGTTTTGCAATGTGGGAAGCGGCAAGTTCAATTTCTGTCCTACCAACCCTCCCAAGGCCTAACAAAAGGACGCATTAGAGAAGAATTCATAACAGTTTGGCGGAATTTTTCGCTGGACTACCAAAGCTAAACCCGTACCATATTACTGGTAAAACTTACAACAACGCATGATAAGATCATTTTGGGTACGAATGTGGAGAACATATGCTCGTAACGTCGAATGTACGTGGTGGCAACAAGACGTTCAATTGAAATCAAAAACACGGTGGTGTCGATTTGGAGGATGGCGATCAACTGACCGACTTTGCACAGAGCATCCACTCTCTGGACCCATGCTATACTGTATCCACGACCTAAATCACAGTATTCAATAGAGTAAGCATACTTACAGCCTATGGTTTGATTGGGTAACCTTACTGCATGAACAATTTGTCTTGGTCTGTCTTCTTTGGATGCGCTACGCATTCCATTTCATTTCGAGATATGAGATAATTTGAATGTGTCCCCAGCTTGTGCCCCATTGTTATTTGCTTTCTTTTTTGTTTTTGATCCAAAAGTTTTTGTGATGTTTTGTTTTTAGAACAGAAAGACTTTGTAAAAGCTAGTGTCGAGCAAAAAAAGCGGAATGGACAAAAATCAGCGCACCTTCACGCAAAAATAGAAGCGGATTTATGGGATTATGGGGTAATCGGAGCACCTCAAATTTTATTTGGACCCCTCCTTTTGTTCGTGTTGAAGGAGGATTCCACGATAAGGATGAGGGTCGAAGAAGTGGAAACTCACCTAGTGGAGAAACAGACCGACTTCTTAAGGACCAGGGGCAACACGAAATTTCCAGAAGGATATGCCACTGTCCTAGCATAGCTTTTCCCGCGGCTGCCATTGGCGCTGTACCCCGCCCCCGTCTCCCGGCGTCCTCTCCCGTCCGAGTCTCTAGCTGCTCAACAGCGAGAGAGAGCGACAGCGTTGAAGACAGCAGCACCGACGGGAGTTGCACTAATGCACAAGGAAGGATTCCGTTTCTCGGGTCTGGGTGCTTCTCATGGTTTTCCTTCTTTCGTG